GACTACAGCACATATAGATCTATTTCTGATCTCCAACTTTGTTCTGTTTTGTCAAATTTGTTTCAGCTATCTTCGTTTTTTTGTAGTTTTCTATATTAAGCTTATTGATTTCTACAAACAAAATTGTGATGAGATGTTTAGATGTTTTTATTGTAAATATACATAACATTTATTCTTTTGACCATTTTAAAAGTGTACACTTCAGTGGCATTCGGTAAACTCATAATGTTATGCAGCTACCACCATGATCTTGTTCCATCCAGAACATTTCCATCCACTCAAAAGGAAACCTGTTCTCATTAAGCAGTCACCACTCATTTCCCCTTCCTCCCAGACCCTGGCAACCTCTGGTCCTCTTTCTGTCTCTATGGATTTGCCTCTTCTGGGTAATATAAATGGAATCATACACTGTGTACTCTTTGTGTCTGACTGTTCCCCTTCCCCCCCCCCCCCCCCCTTAGCATAATATCTCAAACTCATTCATGTTGAAGCATGACGATTTGTGTTTCCTTGCAACTCCCTATGAATTTTAGGATCAGCTGTTTTTGAAATAAAAGGCCATGGGACATTTTGGTTGATACTGCACTGAATTTGTGGATGGGGGGGGGGGGTGAGTATTGCAATTTTAACAATATCTTCCAATCCATATCCATGGGAAGTCTTTCACATTTAAGTCTTCAGCTTCTTACATTGATCTCCAGTATGTAAATCTTGTACTTCCTTGATTACATTTTTTTCCCCTTTCAATGCTATTTTAAATGAAATTATCTTCTTAATTTCTTTTGTTTTCGGCTATTCATCGCTAGTGTACACAAGTACAACTACTTTTTGTGTGTGTGCTTAGATTTTCACTGCAATGGTATCGCATCTATGGGTCAACTGAGGGAGAACTGTTGAGCCTTACAATCCTGAGGGGCCTACGAGCACAGAGCCTTCCGGTGGACCACGAAAGGCCTGGAAGGACCACGTGGCATGTGGTCAGCCTGAAGGGCCTGAGGCAGACTGTCACTCACCTGAAGAAGAGGCAGCAGCAAACAGAGGTCCCCGGGGCGGGAGGAGTGCGACGGAGCGGAGGGTGACGTGTGCTCTCCTCCACGGGCTGTGCACCACCACTGGGGGGAGCACGCGCGGTGAGGCGTGGACACGCCCACGCTGCACGTGCTCGGTGTGCGTCAGGAGCCACGTGACTGCCCACGTGGGCTGGGCGGCTGCCTCGCAGCTGTTTGACAGCTGGCTGGAGGGACCTGGACCGGGCTGCGTAGGTGGGAGAGTAAAACTGGACGGGAGACAGGAGGCAGGAGGCTTTCTCCAGTAGGTTCATGTTTAGCGTTGCCAGATAATATGTGGGATGCCAGTGGGGTAAGCAGGGAAAAAAGTTTTAGTACCATCTCGCAAGCCGAAATATTGCTGTTTATGTGAAATTGAAGTGTAACTAGTTGTCTTGTATTTTTATTTGCTAACTCTGGCAACTTTAATGTTAGGGTTAAGATGCCAAGTTTGAACATTTAAGAGCAATGTTGTGCCAAGCCACATCACACCCTGAGGCAAAAGGAAACGTGCGCTTTATATACTTATTTTTGTGTATTTTTAAATGGTTAATGTTTTCAAAATAGTAAATGTTTGAAATATTTTAAAGTTGAAAAGTTGGTATATTAAAATTCATATTATTTTTTAAATATATATATATTTCATAGAGGGAGAGAACGAAACATCCATGATGCGAGAGAATTATTATTGGCTGTCTCCAGCATACCCCCTACTGGGGATAGATGGAGTCAGAAACCTGGGCATGTGCCCTGACAGGAAATCGAATCATGACCTCCTGGTTCATAGGTCAGTACTCAACCAGTGAACCACGTTGGCTGGGAAAAATTCATGTTATTTTTAAGTTTAAACATTATACCAAAAATAAAACTTACCATAAACTTATTTTCCTGGCTTTCTTGGAAGCAAACTCAAGATTTTCAAAAATTTACTTCTCTTAATCAAGTGAGATCTTAAACAGTTTTAAATTAACTTCAGTTTACTGAAACTTCTTTTGTAGGATGCTGCTGTGGCTGGTATTATTTTTAAAAAGTTCTTTAGACCAACTTCTGTTACCAAATTCCAAGGGCTTGCTGCTTGTTGTATTCTATTTAATAAGTTGTGCCCCACACAGTGTGTGGTTCAGTTGTTCAGTGTGAACCTGTGAAGCAGGAGGTCATGGTTGCATTCCAGTCAGGGCACATACCTAGGTTGCAGGCTCCATCCCCAGTAGGGAGCTGCAGGAGGTAACCAATAAAAAAATTCTCTCTCATTGTTGATGTTTCTATCCCTCCCCTCTCTTACTTCCTCTCTGTGAAATCAATTTAGAAAAACATATTAAAAAGAACAAGTTGTAATTGTCATTAGGTAGTTTCATTTACTTTGAGCAAGTAAAGCAGACTGGATTCACATCCAAAGCTCTGCCTCCTTGAAGGAAGGCTTAGCCATTGCTTACAGACATTATTTGTTTCCTTACATGTTGATTTCTTCTTTGCATTGCCTAAACTTATAAGTCGTGGTTAGAGTTAGGATCAAGTTCATTTGGCCAGAATAGGATTTAGTAAGAATCACCCAGACCTGGAGATCCTTGTACTATCTAACACTTCCAAATTTGGGTAAGATTGAACTAAGAAAAATTTGTGAATCAGATTTAGAGGATCCAAACTCAATTCTGATTTTATACAATGAATTATTGGTACCATATGCTGCTTAAAACTACTTCAAATGGAATATAACACTGGATTTTAAATCATCAGACTTTTGAAAAGGATGCTTTTTGTAATTAGATGTATTAATAGAAAGTAACTTCTTCAACTAAAAATTCAAAATAGCCCCCAGCTGGTGTGGCTCAGTGGTTGAGAGTTGACCTATGATCCAGGTTTGATTCCTAGGTCTCTCACTAAAGAGCAATGAGACCTTATATGACCTCAAGTTCATTGATTAACCTTTCTGATATCTAGCTTTTTCATCACCTATTCTAAAGAGTTGTGAATTTGGGAAAGACTGTAACATCCCTGGCACACTACCGAAAGCATACTGAAATGCTCACCTCTTTTGGTGCCATGCTAATGCTAAATTGGTTAATAAAGATTACTGAAAACAGTGCCCTATCTCTAAGGTTATTGTGTACTTGTTTCTGGGAGCACACTGGACATGCAGGCACCAACACACCATGCTTCATGCAGGAAATATCCAAGATGAATGGTGAACATGTTATACCAGATAACTAAGGAAGATATTAAACACAAGATTTTCTGTATCTATTTTTCACATTAAAATTTTTTTAACTCAAATGAACAAGACTCTAGCCAAAATAGAATTGCTTAAGGTAGACCAATAAAAAACAACCATGAAAACGCAATAAAATCTCAGAGAAGTCTATTTGAATTACTAGTAAAAAGGGCTTGTGCATCAAGCTCCTGGGGAATATGAATCTTGGGTTGATGAGCCTGAAGTCTGTAGCCTCTTTTATTCTTAGGTCATTTTCTGAGTCTAGGCATGGGGTAGGAGACCGAGGACCCAGTTAAAGGACTCAAGCAATGAGCAACTATCGATACCAAGAGGCAGAGAAACCCTGGCAGTCTCAAGGGGCAGTGAAAGATAAAAATGAGACTGTAATTGGTTAGAATATTAAATAGGAGAGAGTGTTGAAGAGCTTAGTCAACCACTCAGCCTGCTTACTCACTAAGATATTTTTCTGAATTCAGAAGCTGTGCAGAATGGAAGATCAAGAAGCTAAGTAGGAAACCTCTGAATAAAAAAATGAATTTTGGGGACAGTGTCTAGATCACATGTGTCAAACACAAGGCCCACGGGCCAAATCCGTCCTGCCAGGCCTTGCAATGTGGCCCGCACCACGCTGTCATCACTGCACTCCGCTGCGTTTCCATCACAATGACAGTTTATGACTGTTCAGTAAACCATTCGGCCGGCGATTTAGGCTGGATTTTAGATTTTGGCCCCTTCTCTGATTGAGTTCGACACCCCTAGGCTAGATACTCAGGATAAAGGAAAGAGCTGCAGACTTGCTTGGGGGTGGGGTGTTGGGGGAAAGATCCAGTGAACATTTTAGGCTTCCAACTGGAAAGCCCCTGGGGGACATTACCTGTAAAGAGGAAAAAGGGAAAACCAGAGGTAGAATCTTAAGAAAATTGCAACCCAGCCTAATTAAGTTGTTTCAGGCTTTTGATCTGGATTAAGGTGATCAATCCCTCCTCTGTCTAGCAGAGGAAATGGTGAACCCTTTGTTTAGGATAGGGGTGTCGAACTCAATCAGAGAAGGGGCCAAAATCTAAAATCCAGTCTAAATCGCGGGCCGAATGGTTTACTGAACAGTCATAAACTGTCATTGTGATGGAAACGCAGCGGAGTGCAGTGATGACAGCGCGGTGCGGGCCACATTGCAAGGCCTGGCGGGACGGATTTGGCCCGCGGGCCTTGTGTTTGACACATGTGGTTTAGGAGGTTACTACCATCCTAAATTTGTCATACACAGTGTCCAGCACTCAATAAAAAATCACCAGGCATATCAACAGAGTGGACCAAATGACCAGAAACTAAGGGAAAAAACAATAGAAGGAGATCTGCAGAAGGGGCTCACAGGGGGATCCTGAGGTGTGGATTTGAAAATTATCTGGGTGCTAGTGCATGGGTGCTTGTTTACTAGCTTCATATTTTTAAACTGTACATCTGTGTGTCACAAACAATTCTGTGTGTATATCTCAAATTTTAAAAATAAACAGCATCACAGTTATGAACATACATGATCTCTATGCTCTCTGGGAGACCAAGAGAAATGATTTCCCTGTTTCCAGAAAGGACACTGAAGCTTGGACACCAGATCTAATACTCAAGGTCAGAGTTTTGCCACTAAAGTACTTATTACCCAGATTCTGCTTCCACAGAGGAGAGGCACAGGAAACAGTGAACTTGATAAAAGCTCCCATGTCTTAAAAAAAATACTCCAAATAAGGCTCTTTAAGGCTTCTGGCAGGGACATTTTTATTTATTTAGTTAGTTAAAGCCACATTAATAGAAATGCATAAGAACAAACATGTAAACAAGGTACCAGAACTTTGGTTCACTGAGACATCTCACACCTAAAGCATCTGAGGTACAAAGGCACCTTGCGAGGCGCCAGGCAGCCTGACTCTGCTGCAGCCGCGCTGACCCGAGATGGAACAGGCTGACCAGAAAGGCTGGGGCCCGAGGCCACCCAGGACCTTCCCCTATCCTCTTGGTCTGCTCCAGACAAACTCACTTCTCCAAAGACCCGCCTGACAGGGGCTGGAACACACAAAGGTGTTTGTCACGTTGAACTTGAAGACAAAAGGCTGTGGGACCAGGAAGAGGATGGGCAGAAAAGGATGTCAGTCAACTTCTGTTGATCCACATGGCCTCAGGAACTCCTGTCCTCGTTCATGGAACCACTTGTTGGAAACTGTGAACAGATAAAAACTACGTTACAATCCTGTTGGGTAGAGCAGCCCCCCAAATTAATGACTCCTTCAGGATGAACCCTACACCGGATTCAGATGTATGACACGGTCTCAGGTCTCAAGTTACTCGGGAGCTAGTGAGGAAGACATATGCATAAACAGATCATTGTACAAAAGTCTGTCAGTTGACAGAAGCTATGTGTAAGGTTGCCATAGAAACAGAGCCAAAGGGCATCGAACCATTTGAGGGAAGAAGAGACCATAGAGCTGGGCATGAAGCTGGAGAGGCGTTATCCAGGGAAGAAATGGACAGACGATGATGGTTCCTAGATCAAGAGGGTCCAGGAAGTGAGAACAGGCTGAGAAAGACATCAAGGCAGGAATCACCCTGGTGTGTGATAAGGACCCCAGCCAAGTCGATGTTATTAGAAATGGGTGGGTAGGAACTGAGAGGTAGGAGAAGAGGGAGAGGAAGCCTGTCAAGATGGTGGAGGGCCTGGGCTGTGTGCCAATGGATCCCATAGGGGTGCTGTGTGTAGCCAAATGGTCAGCTAAAACAGTGTCTCAAATTCGCATGAACCATGATTTCATTCCTCAACAGTCTCTTTCACAATGGATACAAGTTTATTCCAGTGCACCACAGAATTCATGGAACATTTTAAATGTGTTAACGTAAGGTAATACAGGTACTTTGTTTAAAAGAATCAAATTGTTGCTCAGCTGGTGTGGCTCAATGGTTCGATCCCTAGTCAGGACACATGCCCAGGTTGCAAATTCAATTCCCAGCAGGGGGCGTGCAGGAGGCAACCGATCAATGATTCTCTCTCATCATTGATGTTTTCTCTTTCTCTCTCTCTGAAATCAATAAAAATATATTTTTTAAATCAAATTGTGTACAAAACTTATAATTATAAAACAGCAATCTTCTTCCTGCCTCTTCCCACTACCAATCCCCCCTTCCATTAGATATTCAACTTCTTCATTTGTCTTCTGATATTTATCCTCATTTTTCTAAATAACATGGTCATAGTGCTATTTCTTGACTTTTGATTTTAGAATTCTTTTATTTTACCTCTAAAACACATACTTATTACCTCCTATATACTCAATACAATTAAATCACAGGTTTTAGTTACATGACTATTCAGTATTTACATTGTTATGGCATGTAAATATTGCTCACACATGAGCCACCTAATAGATCCTACTTATATTTCCTTTCTTGTACAACTTTTTTCCCCCCTGATCAGCAACTGCCTCGATTTTCATTTTTATTTGCTCAATTTTTTGTGAACCTATCAATATTTATCTCCAAAACTCTCCAGGAGGGCATTAAACTCATCTCTTTTCTGATCACTTCCTGTTACACGCTGGTTCAAGCCTCTCCATGGCTCACCACAGCTGCTTGCTCAAGCTTCAGCCTCTGCAGTTTGGTTCCAGCCTCCAGCCTCATCCCTTGGTCCCTGGGCCATAGGCCTCCCCATAGCCAAGGGACAAAGGAAGCCCGTCCCCACACCTGTGGTGCTGATCGTAGCCTGTGCCTTGTTCCCCATGCCTTGCTTGCCTGGGACACCCCTTCCCCTCTTTGATTCCAATTGTTCCCCCAGGGGCCCCTCCCAACCCTGGCCAGAGCCCGTCGCTCTGGGGCGCCCGCCATCCTGGACCTCTGATGCGTGTCTAGCTGTCCTTTCTCAGGGCCCCCTTGGCTCTCTTGGCATCTCTGAGAGTGACTTCAGAGAGTTGTGTGGGCACATACCCAGCTGAATGGTTGGGTGGCACTATCAGTTAGCAGGATTTAAAAAAAAATTTAAAAACATCCTTGCTCCTGCTTCTGCCCAAGACATGCCTTGTATTGTAAATTCAACTAATATACTTTTAATATAAGGGGGGGGGGGGTGCGGTGCAGGGATGGGACTCAAAAAGGAGGACAGTATGGCTTTGTGGAAATCTGGCGGCAGTTGTCTCCCAGCTCAGAGTCCAAGGACGACCACGAGAGCCCGCCGAGGCCACCAAGGCCAGCGGCACTCCCGAAGCCACTCACCCCACTTGCAGCCCACAAGCACGGGGCAGGCAGCGTGTCTCGTTCGGTAGTCACCTTCCCCACTCCGCAAGAGGTTGTACCAGAATACTGCTGTGCCCTGGGAAAAGGAAACAGCCTATCAGACAACTTCCTTAGAGACTGGGCCCTCCCTGAGCAGAAACACCCTCTCTTTCCCGTGCACAGGGGACAGGGCTCTGGGCCTCCAATGAGAGAGGAAAGTTCCCCAGCAAGCACCTTCCCTTCACAGGGAGTTGGCCTGCAAACCTCCCCCCGCCCCCCATCCCTTCTCCCCAGATGGAAACTGAGGCCACAAGATCAGAGTGTAGGCAGGAAGTAGGAGTCAAGCAGGCCGAGGAACGGGACTGGGGACCGTAAAGCCCGGCTTCCACGTCAGAGCCCCGAGAACCAGAACTTACCTTCTTAGGCCAAATGGCAGCCCCCAGATCAGGGAAGACAGTGGCGCCACCAGCTTCTACGTCGCTCATCTGCGGATACAAGGCACAGAGCTTGGTCCTTCCACCCGAGGATCTCAGAGCAACTGAGCCACAGAGGACACGACACGGCGTGCAGACCAGCCTCCGCTGGACATGAGCAGCACGGCTTGGAGGCTCTGCTCCTCAGCCAACCCTCCAGCGAAGAGAAGCTTTTCCCTGACCCTGCTTAATCCGTTCGGCTCATCAGGACAGTCCCAGTGCCCTGGGCACGCAAGGGCTGTAGGGGAGTCTCACATCCCCGCTGTGCTCAGAGGGTAACAATCTAAATCTCAGAAAATGCCCGCCTGACCTCCAGCCCTTGCATCCCCATTAGGCCTGGGCCTTGCCTAAGCCACTAAACCCATGAGCTACCCTGACCATCTGTGGCCCGCACTGTGGCCTCTGGCTCCCAAACTTGCTCTAGTTAGTCAGGCACCTTCCCTGGGCCACTGTTTGGGATGGTAGGGCGTTATCTCTCCAGAGGCCCTGCTTTCTCCCATGGTAAGACCCCAAACTAACCAGGACACAAATTTCATGGAAGGGAGGCTGCACGCATGCCCACAAAGTGGGCCTCTGCTCACGCCCAAAGCACCACTTCTTTCTCGTCTGGCTCTCTCACTTCAAGTTTTTGCCTGTAATGTAATAGTATTTGCGGCTAATAAATATTTCCACAGGACACATACCAGACAGACTGAAGGGCACTTGACAGACAGGGGAAATGAATAACATGAAAACCCCTGATGGTGACAGCCTGGGGATCAAATCCAGACTCTTTTTTTCTAGAACCCGGAGCCCTGTCAGTCTCACCAGCCTCTCCCTCCAGCCACTATCATCAATTCATGCCTCCAAGCCACCACCCTTTCTCTATTTTTCCAACATCCCACGCTCCTTCTCTCTTCCAGGTCTCCACACACTCCCTCCTCTGCCAGAAACCAAGCTTCACCGACTATTTTCCACTCAACCTTCAAGTCTCAGTATTGACATGTTCCTTCCCCAGGGAGGCCTTCTCTGAGCACTAACCCCGGGCGAATGTCTTCAAAGCACTTGTCACCATGGCAATGAAACAATTACCTCTCCTCCGTTTAAAATAAGCCTCGTATTATTAGACCGTCAGCCTTACAAGAGAGACCACACGTGTCCTGCTCACCAGCGTGTTCATGGCGGTCCCCAGCACATAAAAGCCACACAATAAAAACTTAAATGAGAAACCAGAGGGAAATATGGACTCAGGCATCTGTCTCTGAACTTCTTGACCACATCTATGCCTCTTTAGGGCCAGCCCTCTCGGCAGAGGGGGCAGGAAACTGTGGCTCATGGGAGGAAAACCCAATGTCCTGAGGCTGGGAGACAGGATGCCACGTTTGGGGAAACAAAGGCAGCTTTCATGGAAGCACTTCACAGCGACTTCCTCACTCTGCTGCCAAGGGGAGAACTTTGCCCAGATGAGCACTGGGCCCATCAAAAAAGGAGCCAGGGCCCTAGCCAGTTTTGCTCAGTGGATAGAGCATTGACCTACGCATCAAAGGGTCCCGGGTTCGATTCCGGTCAAGGGCACGCTCCTTGGTTGCAGGCTCCTCCCTGGCCCGGGCCCTGGTTGGAGCTCATGCAGGAGGCAACCAATGGGTGTGCTTCTCTCACATCGATATTTCTGTCTTTCCCTCTCTCCTCCACTCTCTCCAAAATCAATGGAAAAATATACTCAGGCGAGGATTCACAAACAAACAAAACAAGAAGCCAGGGTTGTGAAGGTCCTGGGGGTCAGGGGGTGCCCATAGGTAAAAACAAAGGCCAACTCTCTACTCCGGCCAAGAAGGGCCGAGCCTCTGAGCAACGCCGGTGGCATCAGCCCGGACAGGTGTGGCTATTAAGAGCTTTTTGGACCCAGACTCCTCTTAAGGCTCACACACCACACACGTCATACTCACGTAGTTTAAGAATGTGGCCACACGGTTCCCCGTCCCTAAATGCTTGAAAACATCTTGCTCATCGTTCTATAAAATCAAGTGAGAGTAAACAGGCGGCCCTGGCCCCGATACTTACATAGTTAAGAAACGTCGCTAACCTATTCCCCTCTGTTTTGAGGCCGCTGTCAAAAGGACGCTGCAACAAACAACAACTTTCACCCAGGTTTGCAACTGTCTTCACCCCCCCCCCCACCCCCGCCACTCCACTGGGGCTAAAAGGGTCGGGGAAGGCAATAAGTGTGCGCTCCACCATCAGCCTGGACCATGGGCCAAGGCTGCCTGGAAGGGTACGGGGTGGGGGGCAGGATCAGCTTTCAGAGACCCAGTGAGTTCCTCTGCCGGACAGTCAGGGCAGAGAGTGGCAGGGACAGGCAGGAAGAACACCCCCCCACGTCCCAGGGGAAGCAGCCAGGGCTCTGCAGGCCCTGGTTCCAGACTGGGCTTCTCCGGTAACAAAGAGTTGGCCCTGGTGAGGCGGGAGGGGGGGGCGAGGGGGGATGGGGAAGAATGGACGCTGATGGGAAGGCTGAAGTGCTTCTAGAAGCTCCAGCCTTCTCAAACCAGCTGGAAGGGGTCCCTCTGAAAGCACCGGTGATGTGGGCCTTACCCTAGAGAAGTCAAAGTGTGGCTCGTACTGTCCTCCCATTCCGTAATTAGCAACCTGGAGGGAAATTACAACGTTGGACCTCATCAGCAACAGGAACATGAACAGCCCAAAACAGCCCATGCCCCCAGGGGTACTATCTTCCCAGGTAACAACGAGAACCGCCTGAACCCCCAAAACCAGAACCCACAAGCCCAGCCTCTGTAAGGTAGAAGGTAACCATGCCCGGCCAGCACAGGCCAGAGCAAAGGCTGCAACCGTGTCTGCCGCTAGAGGGAGAGTCAGGCTGCAGCACCAATGTGGTTTCCCAAACAGAACACGGCCCCTGCGGAGTAGCTCCTGCCCTGCAGGGACACGCAGAGGGCAGCAGAGGGAGCCCTTGAGACAGGCCTCGGCCCAAGCCCTGTTTGGGAGATAATGAAAAGGTAATTCAGAGGAAAGCCAACAGCAAACTCAAGATTGGGATTTCTTCTTTTTAATACTAGTTTGGGATCTTCTCAGTGCCTGGCACTGCTCCTGCCACGTCTGTCACTGTGCCCACAGAGGGACAAATCCCTCCATCCCTCAGCTGTCCACCGCACGGAGTACTCTGCCTCCAAGTGAAGCAGCGGGACACGGGCGGCCAGCTGCAGGCGGCCAGGGCTGCGGCCGGACCTCGGCTGCCCCTGCAGGAGCTTGGGCCGGGAACAGAAGCCGAGCCACCTCGCTGCAGCAACCACCGGGTGTCATTCCTGGGATCGGAAACAGTAAGTGCCTTTGTGAATAGTTTATCGGCACAATGTAAGTCCTAAATCACAACAGTTACATTAGCATCAGGAGATGCGCTCAGTATGAAAGCTGACCGATCAAGTGGCACCATCCTGTCCATCTGGGAACACGTGGCTACTGTGCCTTACCAAAACCCGAAAACCCGGTGGGCTCGGTTATTAGTCCTCAGAAAATTGGTACTTATAGTGTGCTCTTCTCGGCGATTTCAACCGCCAGGTGAAAAATGCTGCACAGCTTTTTCTACGGAGGCCCTCAGACCTGGGGGAGGGCCGGGAGGGTGACTTTACAAGAGAGAATCCTCCTTTTGGAGCATAAACAATATCTGTGTCATGGGATGAAGTGCAGAATTTGGGCAGCATGACTTTTGGTCTCCACAAAAATAAACACTTTGATATGAAGAATCAGGAGATGAAGAAATGCTGCCGTCCACTGCTTCAGCCTTCAGGATCCCCATGCCCTACACACCCAGCCACCTTGTTGTTGGTGCAGAAGGCCGAGGCAACAGGTGGCCCGAAGGCTAGAGATGCCTCTAAGGAGGGAAACGCTAGAGCAGTGGACGAAGTGACGGTACACGTGCTTTTTCTGTGGACCCGCTCTCGTCGAGAACTTAAGAGAAAATTTTACACATGACTGTGATCACCGTGCCACTGCGTGCGGGAAAATTCCATCACGCCTGTCGCTGGAGCTGTGGGGCAGGACTGTGCTTCCCAGCACTTGCACGTTCCCAGGGAGTGAGAGGAGCCGCATTGCTCTGGCTGGCTTATCTTTTAACAGTTGGGGACCCACATGTGATCCTGGTGCTAAAGCTATTGCACCTACACTATCTAATACTGTTCCCAAATAGTGCAAAGTGTCGTGAAAACTCCTGGATGTGCAGCACTCTGAACAAACTCCGATCCCCAGACTCATACCTTTGATAACAAGCAACTGCACATCAAAACTGATTCCTGTGAGGAGGAAGTCTTTTGAACTTTTAGAGTCAGTCATTTGAAAGATCAGGGTTTTTATGATGCAGAGATCAGAGTGAAGACAGAAAAAAAAAAAAAGTTTGAGCCCAGCAGGCATGTCTCAGTGGTTGAACGTCAATTTATGAACCAGGAGGTCACAGTTCAATTCCCGGTCAGGGCACATGCCTTGGGTTGCAGGCTCAGTTCTCAGTGTGGGGTGTACAGGAGGCAGCTGATCAAGGATTCTCTCTCATCACTGATGTTTCTGTCTCTCTCTCCCTCTCCCTTCCCTTCTGAAATCAATTTTCTTTTTAAGTTAAAAACCCATTTTTTTGGTGAGGCTGAGACATTGAGTTAGAAGTGTCTTCAATCTCAGAGAATTCCAGCAGTGTAGACTCTCTCCCTCCATTGGGCCCTCATCCAATTCACAACAAAACCTCAACAGCAAACACTCAACTACAGCTGGAAAAATGTCGACAAGTAGCAGAGGAACCAGCTCCTTTCCAGAAGCCTGTAGCATTCCACAGGGACCTGCTGTGCGTGTATCACACTGCAGGTGGTCCCGTGGAGTAAGCACTCAGAGACAGATGCTGAAGCCCAGGTCCCTGTCCCCAGACCATGTAGGATCAAAGCTTGCAGCACTGCTGGCTGGCAAAGGAAGTGCCAAGACAGCACTAAAAACAAAGCAGACAAACATGACTCTGTTGGTTTTGTCACCAAAAGGCTGACAGTTCAATTGCTGGTCAGAGCACATGTCCACGTTGTGGGTTCGGTCCCCAGTCAAGATGTGTATGGGAGGCAACTGATCGATGTTTCTCTTTCACATTGATCTCTCTCCCCGCTCCTTCCCTCTCTCTCTAAAATCAATAAAAAATATAGTTTTTTAAAAAAACTGTGATTTCATACATATCCATGAAGATGACTTTCAAATTTGTTTCTAATTGGAGAGAGAGAGAGAGAGGGAGAGAGGGAGAGAGGGAGAGAGGGAGAGAGGGAGGGAGGGAGGGAGGGAGGGAGGGAGAGAGAGAGAGAGAGAGAGAGAGAGAGAGAGAGAGAGAGAAAGAGAGAGAATTTGCTTGGGTGTGTCCAGGCACAAGTTCAGAGAATCGTTTCCAAATCATCTTCACTTAAATATTCTAATAAGCTCTCTGACTGGTCAGACCCAAATATAAAGCCTACAGGTGAAGAGTGAGGTCCTTAAACATGTAGAAACTCTGGCCAAACAGATCCAGGAGATTCTAGAAAAATGCCAGTGTCTGACAGCGTCTCAGGCCATCACTGTACAACAAAACCCACAAGTTCCGACGTTCGGAAAATGGCCAGCACTGACTTGAACTCAATAGACTGAGGTTTCATCATTAGGAGCTTCATCCAAAACTTCCCAGCCAAGTGCTGCCACGTGTTCACAATCACCTTCGCAATGGGCAGGGAGCCAGGCTCCACAGCGGGCACTTAGAAAAAGCCCTCCACCTTCACCAGCCAACTGGGCCAGGCCGCTCACTCCTATCAATGTACCACAGGGCACTTTACCTCCAAGGACCTCTGCCCGGGACTCAGCCCCACGCCCTCTGAGGGTGCTTATAGTTTTCTCTTTGAGAGGTGTCCCTGGAACAACTCAGGGTTTCAGCTTCTGTATTCAGGAAGGACAAGAATGGGCCTGCCAGGCCCACCACTGACCTCTAGCTCCTAGTCACATAGAAGACAATCTATATTTGCTGAATGTTAACTGTTGAATGCCGCAGGCATGCTTAATTCTGGCTTCCCCAGGTGACGTCACTCCATAGTCACAGCAGTATGCAGTCATGCAGCTTATCGAACAGGCCTCCCTCAGCCTGGACCCGGTATCCAGGAATACCCCTGCCCAAACCCAGGTCCCAGGGACCAGCCGTACCTGCAACAACTCTGCAGTCTTTACTGTTAGCCCTGTGATGTGCTCCATCCGACGGTTCACTCGAGCCACCACGGGATCATCGTCCTCCTCCAGCCAGGAGCTAAGGCGAAAGAGGGCGAGCCAGAGAGGAGGGGAAGCCGGGCGTGGGTGAGGTCCTGCACTCTCTCCCCAGAGGCAGCGTGGGTGAGGGCTCGAGGCGGGGAGGTAGGACACACGAAGCCACCCTCCCTCAAGGAACCCCCGGGCAGGGCCTGGGAGGCCCAGGAGGTGGGGCCCGAACCGTCACCCTGCCCCATCGCCTCTGCTGACCTTTTGGAAACCCTGTAGCTGGCCACAGTGAGGACGCCGGTCTTGGGATCACGAACAGTGGCTCGTGCGAGCTGGAAGGCAGAGAGAGAGGACAGGCTCAGCCTTCTTTGTTTTCCTCGAGAGACTGGGACCAGATCTGCCAGTGAGGGAAGAAGGTCTGCAGACAACGGCTCTAGCCGAGGCCCCATCATCCTGCAAGGCAGGCCGGTGAGGTCGTCTGGAGCTTCCACGTCGGCTCTGCTGTCAGACCCTGGCCACTGACCTGCTCCGTCCCCACCCGCCCTTGTTGCCACTCAGGTGGGCGCTGTCTGCAGAGTTATGCCAATGGGGTAGGCTTGTCCATCCATCCATCTTCCCGGGCAGCCCCCTTTCCCACCAGGCCCCCGTACCACCCCTGCCTGAGCACAGCCTGTGCGTGGCTGCTCCCGCCATTCAGACTGGGCCAGCGTCCCTGCGTCTCAGCCTGGCCGAGCCCACAGTCCTGCTAAGCTCAGGGGCCTCCTCTGCCAAGAAACAGACCTAACCAGCCCCCTGCCGCCCCCGCTCACACTGGCTCCACTGCTGCAGGAGCACTTACAGGAGGCATGGATTCCACTCCCTTAGGGAAAGTCTCCAAAGGCCAGATGGTAGAATTGGGACGTAAGTGAACTGCTGCCTGGAAGCCAGCCACCTCACATACACACGTGTACACTTCACATACACGCACAGCCCTCACCTACCTCATCCCTCCCCGTCTCCACTCTCCGGGAAGGACCTGCTGCTCCCAGCCAGCCCCCAGGGCTTCAGCTGTAGACTGTCCTAATGAGCTCACGTGGGCGGGACCACAGACCCAGATGTCACACCCCAACTTCCCCTGAATCCCAATAAACACCGCCTGAGTGCCTCGGGCATGCTTGGCACTGTGCTGGGTCACTAACACGTGGCCCCTGCCCTCATACAACCGAGGAAGGCAGAGAACTAGCTGGGTAACTGCAGCACCGCATGGGGAGAGCTGGGAGGGGGCACGCTCAATGTCAGTGGGAGCCCAGTCTGCAGGGTCAGGAATGGTTTCCTGCAGGAGGGGATCGTGTAGCTGAGACTTGAAGGGTAAGCAGGAGTCAGCCAAGAGGGGAGCATTACAGGAAGAAGGAAGGAACGGCAATGCAGAGGGCCAGGGATGAAAATGGGGGTGGTGCTATGTCTGTGGGTTATTAGTTAGACATAAGAGAACAGGCTAAAGGGGCAAGTGTGTGTGCGTGAGGTTGGGGGTGGGGGCTGGAGGGGAGGCCTGGGTCTAGATGTGACCTGGTGGCGAATCACAAACAGGGACGGCTTTCATTCAGGGCAGGGACACTCATAGCCTGAATGTAAGCAGCAGCCCTGCGGACACCTTGTGCACAGTTGTGTAAGGAGGAACCACAGTGGGAACAAGGAGGCCAGCGGGGAAGACAAGGCAGAAGTGAGGGCAAGGAGTGCTGGTAGTCTGGGCAGGGGGAGCAGAAGGGGTGGAGAGGAGCAGATGGACCAGGTCAGGAGGTGCGATCAACCAACCGGACACTCTGCTGCCCTCGCACGTTCTGGCAGGACGGCCGGTGCACCGGACGGGGGCTCCTCCCTGGTGACAACTGTGGGGGCAGCTAGACCCTGACCAAGCATCAGAGCCTCCCTGCCGCCCGCCGCCCTGACCTGTCAGCTGGGCGCCGCTCCCGGGACCGACGGGCTATTCTGAAAACAGACTGGGGGCCCCGGCAGCTGCGAGCATTCCCCGCCCGCCAAGGGAGCTCCTGGGCCCCACTTCAAAGCCGGCTGCGCATCCATCCGCACCGGCTCCGGAAGAGGCGTGGCCAGCACTGCGGCTCTCACACGGCTCCTGCTCAAAGACAGGTTTTCTCAGCATCCTCTGGGGTTGTTCAGAGAGTCGAAGCAAAAATTTTGTCTTCTTCGTAATATTCATTGTTCCTTTGTTTTCAATGCCTTAGGGAGCTGCCCAGAACTTGTGGAGCATTGAAATAAGAGGCATCCTTGTCTTGTAACCAACTGGGAATTCTCCTGGTATTTCACTGCTAAGTGTGCAGTTGGCTATCAGTTTTGTATATGTGTCATCATACGGTAAAGTTACCTTTCTATTTCTAGTTCATAAAAGACTTGCTTCCATGTGACATCTTCTGTGTGTGTGTGTGTGTAACAGGGTGCACGCATGCACATGTGTGGCAGGAGGCACGTGCATGTGTGCACCCTGTTACACACACACACACACACACACACACACACACACACACACACACACGTTTCACTGCCCGGGTCTAAGGAACACGTGAGGAATTTCTCAGGAGATTCTGACACAGCCGAGGGATATGGCAGCAAGCAGTTCTCTTTGAAAGATGTCACATGGAAGCAAGTCTTTTATGAACTAGAAATAGAAAGGTAACTTTACCATATGATGACACAAATACAAAACTGATAGCCAACTGCACACTTAGCAGTGAAATACCAGGAGAATTCCCAGTTGGTTACAAGACAAGGATGCCTCTTATTTCAATGCTCCACAAGTTCTGGGCAGCTCACTAAGGCATTAAAAACAAAGGAACTATAAATATTACGAAGAAGACAAAATCTTTGATACGACTCTCTGAACTACCCAAGAGAATGGGTTGAAGACCGAAAGGGAGTGAGGAGTGAGCTCAGGGACAGGCTGTGACCTGCATGAGTCTCAGTTTCCGCGTGGGGAGGAGGAACAGAAGGACACGGCCCGCTTAGCAGACCTAACACTGAGGACAGGGCCTGTCACACTCAGGAACTCGGTCAACATTGGCTATTACTATGAAATATACAACCAACAGTTCAGCATATCAACGCAAACTAATATAACAATGCGACTAGTAAAAATATAACTACGAAGAAACAAAGCGAAGTTACAGAAAACTACCTAGGAGTAAACGTAAGGAGGAATACGCAGGGCTTGATGAAGACTGCGGTAAGAGATATGATCAGTGAGGACACCCAGAAGGCACCTGGAGGAGAAGACTCGATGATGGAACAATGATCCCTCTTCTCCTGTGCAGCCCTGACCAGGACTCCACGGGACCCTGCCGGCAGCACCTCCGACAATCTCACCCACACACGCCAGCTCCCACAGGTGAGCGCCTGCCCGGCCCCTGTGTGCCTCTAGCCTCGCAGCTGTGCTCTGCTCAGCTGACCCGGTCGTCCACATCGGCTCCTCAGTCTTCTTCCCCACCGTACCCACAAGGTCACCCTGAGTCTGCAGCACCTCAGCACCCCCGCAGCGGGCTCATGCTGGGCACCGGCCACGGCCAGCTGGGGAAGCGACGAACCGCCCACGGCGCCAGGAATGAGTGACCCGAGAAGGGCCTGCAGAGACACCCACTTTGGGCTTTGCGATGTCCTTGATCCTCTGGATTTCCTCGTCAGACATGACGTCGTAGTACCGGACGATGTGCGGGCTGTCCCACTCGTCCTCCTCTTTGAAGGGGGCGATGAGCAGCTGGGGCGTCCTGTTGCCATCGTGGTACCTACAGAAGAGCCTCTTCTGCCTCTTGGGTGTCTGGGGAGCACAGAGCGACAGCCCTGAGCTGAGGGAGTCCTGATCCCTGCCCCAGGCTGGCTGGCGGCAGACGCTGGTCTCACACTCTGTGTCCAGCAGCTCCTCCCCACCCCCCCCCCCCCCCCCCGCCACCACCACAGAAGAAAGCAAAACCCCTCAGCTTGATGGCATAAAATGACACCCCAAACATCAGGCAAGGTTTCCTCTTTCCCACGTTCCGTGGCACAGGGCAACCCCAACCTTTTTCACGGAGATGTGAGCAGGTGGAAAGGGCTGGGGCATGGGGAGCCTTCCCAGGGGGAAGGGCCAGTGGGAGCGAGGCGCTCGGGCCTGGAAACGGCCCAGACTGCCCACACCTGAGCCTCCCTGAGGAAGCACTAGGATCCCAGGGCCCTCAAGGCCAAGGATACCCGACACCAAATTCTAGCAACTGCTGAGACCCAGCAACTGTCCTGTCTCTACCACAGAGACCAGCACTTCCCTTGGGGCCTGAGCGTCCACACTCAGGGTTTTCTTCCCAACGGAAACCGGCATGCTGGGGTGGGGAGGGAAGCTCAGAAATAAAGCAGTGTTTCCCAAAGTGTGGTATGCGTACCCCCCGGGGTACGGGAAGAGTTTGGTGGGGGTACGCATTGCACCGGAGTTTGGTGGGGATATGCACTGCACCGTGCTTAGCTGCACCTAATTCTATGTTCTCATGAGTATGAGGGGTACTCAGCGTTACGAAAATTATAGAAGGGGTACACATGTGTCAAAAGTTTGGGAAACACTGAAGAGGATTGAAAACCTGCCCGAGATATGAGGAAGAAAGTTTCCCGTCCTTTGTCTCAAACAGCGTCCACACTGTCACCCTCAGCGGATACTACAAAGAACTAGGGAAGATGCTGAAAAATGACCCCCAGAGAAACTTCCTCCCCAAATCTGCCTGTCCAGAGCCGAAGCCCGGGTCCACAGCCCGGGCCCCTGGTCCCCCCACAAGTCTCACCAGTTTGACACCCTCCCCCCGGCAGAGGCTCTCGTAGACGTCCCTCTCGGGCAGGTAGTCCGCAGGCCTCTCGTAGACGCCGTCCTGGGGCGCCTGTCCAGCTGCTGTCTGATTTGATGCCGTTTTTCCTCTTTCTTCCTCCAGCAGCTGTTCAAAATAGCGCAGGTTCCCTCCAGCTCGGTCATGGCTCGGGTCTAGGAAAGGCAAAGAACAAGGAGGAAAAGGAAACCGCAAACATCTGTCAGGTCGTTTAGAGAAATGATTCTGTAAGCAGCGTCTCCCTCAGCAGCTCACTGGCAGGCAGCGTCCTGCCTTCCACGGCACCTCACCGGGGTTCGCCGGCCAGAGCAGAAAATGCAACAGATGTCCTCTCTGCTCTGCTCGGTGACGAGGAAGAAGCAACAAAGGGGGGCACCCTTGGCTGGCTACTGAGGCGGCCGTCCTCTCCGGCCTCCCTGGAGGTCCCAAGCACACAGATCCGGAGTCCCGCCTCCTCTCCCGCCTGGGCTGTGTGCCAGTGACACCTGTCCCCTCGAGTGCACCCCCTCCCCTGGTGACCACATCGCGTGCGGGCCCAGCGAGAAGGCGGGCTGAAGTCCTGGCAAAACGAAGAGCTCCGTGACACTGCCACCACCTCACAACACGAGGAGCACGTGGGGCGTGGTTACTGTGCCCCTCGGACAAGGAAACTCAAGCCCGAAGGTTTCCCGACTCCCTGACCCAGGCTCTTACTAACATGACAGAACCTACAAAGCTCTCTTCCCACGTCAGTCTTGCTGGACACTCTTCTGCTAGTTGACATCAGATGCGTGAAAAGCATCAGCAGAAGAAAAGTCTTTGCTGGTCTGTGAAATTCCAGACTGTGATGTTTCCACGTTACTAAAAGGATGCTTTATTTAGTTAGTTAGTTAAGTTACTTAGTCCTCACCCCAGGATATTTTTCCATTGATTTTTAGAGTGAAGGGAGAGAGGGAGGGAAAGAAGAAGAAGGAGTGGGAGAAAGAAAAACTACGTGAGAGAGAAACAACGACTGGGTTGCCTCCTGCACATGCCCCAACTGGAACCAAACCTGCAACCCAGGTACCAGCAATTGACCCTGTGACCCTCTAACCACGAAGCTACACCGGCCAGGGCAAAAAACAGTGCTTTGATCTCCTTCAGTCCCATAGCACAAGAGACCCAAAACACTAATGCCATGGCAAGTCCACCAGTTAGGCCTCAGGCCTCTCTACCTATAGGGTCAGGTCACTGTCACTGCAGCAACCATGGAGTACAGCTTACTCTCCCACCGAAGTACTAACCAGGCCCAACGCTGCTTAGCTTCCGAGATCGGGCGCGTTCAGGGTGGTATGGCCGTAGACTACAGCTTACTCTCAAACTACAGTGACACCCCCATTCTGCGTAAGAGCAGGTGCTCATAAAAGCAGCGCCGGATTCCTAAAACGAAGGAGGATTCCCTCAACAGAACTGAGTTGGTTAAGGAGCTAGCTGGTCGCTGGGCTGGGTCCAAAAGCAGCGAGGCATTCGTCTCTGCCAGTGGACAGGTCAGACTGGCTCAATCCCAAGAGAATGGCCAGGTGGTGGCCAGTAGAGTTACCAGTCCTGCCGGCTGCCCACCCCCACCCGACCTTCCCCTGGAACCTCCTTACCCAGGGAGAGCAGGCGGCGGGTGAGCTCCAGGGCGCGGCGCAGGTCGCCCAGCTGGAAGACGGCGTAGCTCAGGTAGTCCAGCACTTGGGCCTTGGTGGTGACGGCCTCCTCCCCAGCGTCCAGCTGCTTCAGCACCTGCTCCATCCACAGCACCGTGTGGTAATAGTCACCCTCGTTGTAGGCCGAGCGGCCCATGCCAAAGCAGTCGTCTGCACTCATCACCGCCTGGTACTTGGTTCCTGCAGCAGGACAGGCAAACGCTCAGGCACCAAAAAGCCTCTGGGTCAGCGTCAGAGATGGCCACGTCGAGGAGGCCTGGGCCGCTGGCTGGCAGCATCAGCCCAGCAGAGCCTTACCAGGGCTTCAGACCACACACCACAAAGGGCCATGGCTACAGTGAGCACCTTGGGTTGGGGCTCACAGCCGATCTCCTAGCCTCAGGCTCCCCTTCTCCCAGGGGGAAGGGGCCTTTGCTACAGAGGAGCCCAGGAAACCCACCGAGAAGTAGCTTTCAGGAGAGCAGGAGTGTCCTGTGAGCCACACAGAAGGTACCTGCTGGGCAGCTGGACATGTGAGTCTGGAGAGTTAAAGAAATTAGTTGAACATAAAAAACAGAACTTGGGTGGCATCTGAAGCCATGGATGAGGATAACTGCTTCTGGGAAGAGTCTGAGGAAACAGTAGGAAGGTAGCTAAGACCAGAGCCGCAGGATGCACCTATACGGAAAGGACAGAGGAAGAATAACACCGGGATGGACCTAAGACAGTGGTCGGCAAACTAAGGCTCACAAGCCACATGCGGCTCTTTGGCCCTTTAAGTGTGGCTCTTCCACAAAATACCACGTGCGGGCACGCATGTACAGTGCAATTGAAACTTCTTGGCCCATGTGCAGAAGTCGGTTTTCAGCTCTCCAAAGAAATTTCAATCGTTGTACTGTTGCTATTTGGCTCTGTTGACTAATGAGTTTGCCAACCACTGACCTAAGAGGTAAAAGAAAAAGAAGGAGCAAGGGCCATGAGACAGACACCAAGCGAGGCCAAGTGCCAAGGCTGCAGTGCCAGCTTTGGCCGTTAGGTGGCAGGGAACTTGCTGAGCATCATTTCAGCAGGTCTGGAAAGTCGGCAACTAAGTAATTGCGGGTTCCACACATATATGGCTTCAGTTGAATTTTTAGGTTTGCAGACGTAGTACAAATGTAAAACACATTTTGTTATTTGATAGTTGGCTATTCAGCTGTTAATCAGTAAAAAAAGTTTTTTGATCTGTTTTGTAGTTTTCGTTTGGCGTTCGTTGAAAAATGGAAAATCAAAAGGAACATTTTCGTCATATTTTGCTTTTTTATTTCCGCAAAGGGAAAAACGCATCACAAGCTCATAAAAAGTTATGTGCTGTTTATGGTGACGAAGCCTTAAAAGAACGGCAGTGTCAAAATTGGTTTGCCAAATTTCGTTCTGGTGATTTTTCACTCAAAGATGAAAAACGCTCTGGTCGTCCAGTTGAAGTTGATGACGCCCTAATCAAAGCAATAATCAATTCGGACTGTCACAGTACAACACGTGAGATTGCAGAGAAGCTTCATGTATCACATACATGCATTGAAAATCACTTGAAACAACTTGGCTATGTTCAAAAACTCGATACATGGGTTCCTCACGAACTGAAAGAATCACAGTTAACGCAACGCATTAGCAGCTGCGATTTGCTAAAGAAACGTAATGAAAATGATCCATTTTAAAACGACTGATAACTGGCGATGAAAAATGGGTTGTTTACAACAATATCAAGCGGAAAAGATCGTGGAGCAGGCCAGGTGAACCAACTCAAACAACATCAAAAGCTGATATTCATCAAAAGAAGGTTTTGTTATCAGTTTGGTGGGATTACAAAGGAATTGTCTACTTTGAACTCTTACCACCCAACCGAACGATCAATTCTGATGTCTACATTGAACAACTAACGAAATTAAACAATGCAGTTGAAGAAAAGCGGCCCGAATTGACAAATCGAAAAGGTGTTGTATTCCATCATGACAATGCAAGGCCACACACATCTTTGGTCACTCGGCAAAAATTAATGGAGCTTGGTTGGGATGTTTTGCCACATCCACCATATAGTCCTGACCTTGAACCATCTGATTACTTTTTGTTTTGATCTTTACAAAACTCCTTGAATGGTAAAAATTTCAATAATGATGATGATGTCAAATCGTACCTGATTCAGTTTTTTGCTAATAAAAACCAGAAGTTTTTTGAACGTGGGATTATGATGCTGCCTGAAAGATGGCAAAAGGTCATTGATCAAAATGGGCAATACATTACAGAATAAAGTTATTTAGTTCCATGAAAAAATTGTCTTTGATGTTTAAAAAATCCGCAATTACTTAGTTGCCGACCCAATAGTTTAAAATCAAGACGATGTGGTGTGTTAGCCGGGGGAGATGCAGGCTTTAAGGTGGGGCAAGGGGGGAGGGTCCGTGCGTGTGCTCCTCAGAGAACAATGAAAGCAGGTCCTATGGAGAGCAAGAAGGAGCTGTGACCCCCCTCCCCGCCCTGGGAAACAAGGAGCTTCCCTACAACCCTGCTAACGGTCACTGGGACACGGCTGACATGGAAGAGCTGCCTCTTAGTGGGCTCTTTCTTACCAAGATGGGGCTCTGCATAGAATGAGACCCCTGCTGCAAAGGGTTGGCTGCTTCGGAGACTAGAGCCTGCTGGCCCTGGTGGTTCGGGAACAATGTTGGGGACAGTACATACAAGATGGAGCCAGCAGGCAGGCCAGAGCCTCTGTGTCAGGGCAGGCGGCTCCTTGAGCCCCTGTCCATGCTCCACGGACCTCCACAGAGCTCCCCTGCTCTGTGGGTCCTGGAACACGCATTGATGAAGGCAGTGTAACACAGCTGAGAGGGCTGGGGCTCTGGGTCAGGGACAGGGTGGGTTTCAGATGGCACCCACCTGCTGTGTGACTACGGACAAGTTACTCAGCCTCTCGGAGTCTTTGTTCTCTTATCTCTAAATAGAGATAATAACATCGATTTTGGAGAATTTGTGCCAAGGATTCAAAGAAACTATGTGTGAAGATATCTCCTGTGATCCCTAGGATTATAATTATCTATAGCTCTTATCGACATGTCTCACAGACGCCAGGAATGTAACAAATGATTCACAGATACTCAGCATCTTCCCAGAAGCCAACCTTATCTACTGTGCTCCCTGGAGTGCCAGCTGAGCTGACTGAGCGCTGAGGGCAATCAGACATGGAGCCCGCCGATGTGGGTGAAGGTGCTCCTGCAGGGGGCGCGGGGTGAACAGAGGAGCGGAGTGGTGAGGAAGCTTAGCCCGGTCAATGGGCAGAGCGGTCAATGGGCCAGAGAGATAAGGCCCTGAGGACCTCAAACACCACGTGTAGGAGGAACTTAGGTTTAGCCCTGAATTGACCACTCGTAGGAGTGAGCTGGAGATACACAAGTCATGATGGTACTTCCACAACACAATGGAGAAGGAAGTGATCAGAGGCTGGAGTCAGCGCCTCCAAGTACAGAAGACATCAGGGAGGTGGAACCTACAGGCCTTAGGATTCTGGTTCTGGCAGCCAATGGATGGAGGTGCCTTTTTTTTGATGGGAGAAAACTAGCTCTTTATTTTTCTTTTAATCTTTATTGTTGAAAGTGTTACATATGTTCCCTGTTTTCCCCCATCGGCCCCATCCAGCCCACCCCACACCCCACCCCAGACCTTCACCATCCCACCGTCTGCATCCATGGGTTATGCATATATGAATACAAGATCTTTGGTTGATTATCTCCCACCTACCCACCCTCCCCCACCTTCCCTCCGAGATTCCACACTCTCTTCCATGCTTCCATATCTCTGGACCCACTCCATTCATCAGTTTATTTTGTTGATTAGATTCTACATATGAATGAGATCATGTGACACTTGTCTTTCTCTGACTGACTAGTTTCACTTAACATGATACTCTCCAGGTCTGGATGGAGGTGTTTTTTGCTGAGATAAAGGGTGAGGGAGAGGGATAGACAGCTGTAAGAAGGATGAGGATTTTAGTTTGGGACATGTGAATTTTGAGGAGCCCAATGGAACATCCCAGTAGAGATGTCCCATAGGCATTTGCCTACACTGGCTGGAAGCTCAGGAGACAAGCCATGACAAGGAACACTGATCTGATGTCATCCGTGTACAGGTGATACCTCAAATGATGGAAACGGCTGGGCTCACTTGGAGAAGGTATGTAGGGAGGACATGAGATAGGGCTGGAATTCTAGGGAACAACTCCCTCCACCTCTCACTCCTCTAGGACACAGACGGGTCTGTTAACTGAAGGTAAAAGACCATTGCCTGGTGGTTCCCTCTTCTCACTGTTCTGAGCTGCCTTCTCTCTGGTCTCGTGGCCTGGGTGTCTAAAGAGAAGCCTACACCCCAAAGTGCTGGTTCACAGACTTCTCAGTACTAGGGCTTTAGGCCTTGACCACCCAACAACAGAGAGCCTCCTTCTCCCACAAACCACGATTCCTGCGCTCATATCTCCTCCAGGGACCCCCTGGGTGAGGCGGCATCCAAGGTTTAATGGAGTCTAACTGAGTTCTGAGTTTATTGGCCTCTAATGGCCCCCCAAACCCAATATATCTTCCATGTCTTCTTATAAATACACAGGGGCAATCAGTGGGAAAAGGGCCTCAGGGGTGGGAGGAGGGGGTGAGACAGAGAGAGAGAGAAAACACACACACACACACACACACACAACAGACTATGACCACAGAGGCCAAAAGAGAAAGGGCAGAGATCAGTGTCCCAGAATCCAAAGGAAGGGGGAATATCAGGAAGAAAGAGGCCATCGGTGTTTCACATGCTGCAGAAAAGTTAAAGAACTTCATGCCTGAAAGCGGTCCCCTGGTTTTACAGGCTGACTGGCCACTGGTGACCTTACAGCTACAGGATTGGTGGACAGGAGGGGGGAGGGGGAGGCCAAACTTTGTGCGTTCAGAGGGCATGGGAATCAAGGAAGAGGGGAGAAACTAGATGTCTGCTCAGCAGCTCCACTAGGAGGGAAAAGAACTGGATCAGTGGTAGACACTCAGAAGGGCCTTGGATCCTGAGGGAAGGTTTGTGAGATGAGCTAGAACAGAGCTGTGTGTGAGCTCAGGGGTCGGTAGGGCCCGGAGCGGTACACACAGAATGAAAGGGACAGAACTGCAACTGAGGGCACATGGGACACAGGATGGGAGTCAAGAGATCAGTCTTGGGCAAGAAGAAATCAAAGGGAAGGGGCAGAGGTGGGTCTGGGCAGAGCCTCAGCTTTCTCTGAGGTACAGGAGAGGAACTGGCCGATACAGGGAGGGAGGCTGTGGGCCATGGCTCTGGGAAGAGGCTTCCATGGGAAGGGGAGACTGACACCCACTGGAAACCTGAGAGGCTCTTCCCCAGAGGTGATGGGCCACCTGCGGGAGAGACCACAAGCGGGCAGTGGCTCCAACCCCGTGCAGACCCTGTAGCAGAACCACAGGCTGGACTGGACAGGCACAGCCCAGAGTGGCGAGTTACCTGGGAGCTCCCCTTTGGAAATCGTGTCTGGGTCCAGCTTGTACGTGTCCTGAAGCCTCATCAGGGCCTTGGCAGCGCCTGTTTCGTCCTCGTCAGTGGGGAAGAACTGCCGCTGAACAGAGAGGTTGGCAATAAAACCTTCCAAGTAAGAGAGTGAGAACAAGAAGTTACCCTTGATCCAGGGGCAGAATTCCACCTGAGACCAGAAAGGGTCTCACTGGAGGGTCTCTGCAATGTCCCTGCTCCTCCATCAAAGGCTATTTCCCTTCCACCAGGAAGCCCTCCCAATGGCCCCAGTCCATGGAGACCTCTCCTTTCTTGCTCCTCACTGTAGTGCTGTTCTTTTGGAAATGAACAGAAGGATGGCCCCATGTATTGGTTGACATGGGGGAGTCTTGGCTCCAGAGCACTCAGTCTGACCAGTGGACACGGGGAGATGGAGGCCAGACAGGGCAGCTAAGAGGGGAATCAGGGAGGCCCTGCTGGCCACTCAGGGGAAAATGAGTCACGTGGAAAACCTGGATCCAGGAATATTGGGCTGACCACGTAAACACAGACTGCTAGCCTTAGTCTCAAGTTTGAGGAGCCCAAGGGATAGAGGTAGTCTCCTCAGGGAGCCCAACTGACCACTCATTACTGACCACCGGCTCTTATCATCCGGAAAAATGATGATGGCAGTCCTAGAGGTGTAGTACTATCTGCAGCCCCTGGATTAGAGACCAGGTATCCTGGACCAGCCCATCATAGTTCTGAGACCATATTGAGCCTTGCTCTGCTCTCTAGGGCACTCCCCCACACCCAGACCTGCTGTGACCACAGGGCAGGAGCTCCCCAACTGTAGTGCTCAAGACCACATCCTGGAGGCTGGGGGAGTCCCCGACCTCAGAAGTACCCCAAGGAGGCTGTTCTGGGACTGCAAGCCGTCGCTGTAAAGCAAGATCTGCACCTCTTGCAGCCTCAGGACTCCAACAGGAGGAAGAACCTTCGTGCAGGTTGCAATTCTGCCTGTGACCTGAGGCCTGGGAGGGGAACTCCAAAGCCATTTCTTCCCAGCCTCTTTCCCAAAGCAGCAGCACCCACAGCCACCTGCTCCCACAGCCTCGGGCTCAAACATCCACTCCTAGCCTTGCCTGGGGACCCACGGACCAGGAAGCTGCAATGCTGTCTTCCTCATGACTGCAGTCAGGACGCTAGTTTATAATCTAGTAAAAGGAAAAAATACACCCCCCGCCCCCCGCAGAAAAAAAGCCACGCTGGCAACATGACCTCTCAGTTCAGGGGCAAGAACTCTGAAAGGTAGGGGTGAAAAGAACCTATTGCCCTATGGGCCTATCTTGTCTCCTCCAGGGAATTCTAAGCTTTTCCCAAGAAAACAGATGCTGAGGGAGGGGGTGGGGCATGGAAAACAAGAATGGAGAGTGGGAGGTCATCCAAGCAGACAGGAGGTCATCCGAGCAGGTGGTCATCTAAGCGGGCCTACCCTTCCACCGTTGGAGGAACAGTCAGTTCCGAGCTGCAGGCCCAGGCTGGGCGGCAGGGGTCTGGGAAAGGCAGCCACAGCTTCTGGAAGCAGTGAGCTCACTGGGCACGGCTCCAGCCCTGCTGAGCTCACCAATCTCTCCCTAGAGGCCGCCCTGCCTCCAGCCAAGCCCAACCCAGTCTGGCCACATGGACTGAGATGCCTCAGCCAGAGGAGCAAGCAGACCGAAGGTAATCAGCTTTCCCAACTCGGGGAGAAGAGGCAGAGCCCTGGAGGCTGCGTCCAGGGCTGGGACGCAGGAGGGCCCAGCCCACCGTCTCCTGCGGAGAGGAAAACGTTAAAGCATAGAAAGTCCTGTCACAGTGAAAGCACAGAGCACAGTTAAAGTTTCAAAGAAGTTCAAGGGCCTGCAAATACCACTTCTAGGAATGAATGCTAAGAAAATGACCAAAGAGGTATGTGCAAGACAGCGGGTGATTTGGAAGCAGTGCCACGTCCACTGACGTGACCAGTTTACACATCATCAGTGTGACTCATTACTGCCCAGCCATGAACATGATGTTTCGGGAGAACATTTAATGGACATATGGAGAAGCTGCAAAATTCAGGGAAACAGTATAATCTTAGGTCACAAATCCGTCAAAAGATATGTTTCATATTTAAAAATATAAATGAAGGGGGGGGGGTAAAAAAAATAAATAAAAGGTATGAATGGGAATGAATTTAGATGAGGCTTGAGCTGGTCCCAGCACCCAGCCACCTGACTCACTTCTCTTAGATCATTTGTTCCCTCAGAGAAGGTGAGCTTGCATCCCTGGCATATACTAGTATGTATAACTCCTTTTGTGGTGGTTTTCTTTTTTTTTTCAAGTATATGCATGTGTAAAAACACTGGAATTTAAGTGCTTATCATTAGGCAACTGGATTAAGAAATATAATTTCCTTATGTGATTGTTTGTGTATTTTCCAACTTTTTTATAACAATGTATTGCTAAAGTACAATTAGAAAAAAAAAATCCTATCCAAAAAGAGAAGTGAAAACACTAGGAAAAGGCAAGAACTGATTCCTAGTACATATTAAAAAGCAAAGACCCAATTGCCAGGTCCCGCAGAGGTGAGGAGCGTCGTGAGGTGACAGGGTGCCTGTTCACACACTGCACATGCCCACCCACACCGAGTCCCAGGACACGTTCAGACACACGCTCCCCAGGCGCAAGCACACGAACATGCCTGCTCACCCAAGCGCCTGCTCCCCGCCCCTCACCTGCAGCGGAGTCCTGCAGGACAAGGTCCTCTAGCGTGGACCACTCTGTGTTCAGCCTCTTCACCAGTTTGTAGGCATTCACAGGGTGGGCCAGGTAGCCCTCAGGGTCAGCAGCCGACTTGCTGGTCAGGGCTTCCATTTTGCTGGCCCAGCTGTGTAACCAGAGGAAAAGGATTAATATACTCACCCCACCACATGGGTCTTGACCTGGGGTAATTTTCCTGGTGAGATGTAGGATGCTTTTCATCAAGAGGCAATAAGAAATGAATACAGCCCAGCCAGTGTGGCTCAGTGGTTGAGCGTTGACCTATGAACCAGGAGGTCACAGTTTGATTCCCAGTCAGAGCACATGCCTGGGTTGCAGGCTCAATCCCCAGTAGGGGGCATGTAGGAGACAGTACATTAATGTACTGATTTGACTTAGTGGATGGAGTGTCAACCTGCAGACTGAAGGGTCTCAGGTTCAATTCCAGGCAAGGGCATGTACCTAGGTTGTCAGTTGCAGGCTCCATCCCTGGCCCCAATTGGGACATGTGAGGGAAGCAATTGATGTGTCTCCCTTCCACTGTCTCTGAAAATCAGTGGAAAAACATCCTCCAGTGAGGATTAACAAAAACAACAAAAATGAATACATAACTCCCCACAATCCTTCCAGCCCCTTAATCTAGATAAAACCTGGGGACCCCAATGTATACAAAGAGACTCTTGAATAGAAAGGAAAAAGCAGAGTCCTCAGCCCATTAGAGCCACCCTGGAGGACTGGCATGAAGTAGCCGCCTGGCTTCCTCTTATGGGCACCCCCTGGGGGGCAGGAGGGCTGGCTCAGGGCAGTTGTGGGGAACTGGGACGTTGGACACCTCTTAATCTTGGAGAGCTTGGCTTCCTCCACCAGGATGTACTCCTTCAGGGACTGGACCAGGTCCTTTTCTGCGTAGATCAGGTCTGTCATGTGCCCTGCAGGGAGAGGAGAAAGGGCCAGTGAGAAATGACTGAGAGCCGAAACCGGTTTGGCTCAGTGGTAGAGCGTCGGCCTGTGGACTGAAAAATCCCAGGTTTGATTCCGGTCAAGGGCATGTACCTTGGTTGCCGGCGCATCCCCAGTGGAGGGTGTGCAAGAGGCAGCTGGTCGATGTTTCTCTCTCATCGATGTTTCTAGCTCTCTATCCCTCTCCCTTTCTCTCTGTGAAAAAAAAATCAATAAAATATATATTTTTTTAAAAAAACAGAGAGAGAGAGAAATGGCTGAGAGATGCCCAGTCCCCTTCCTTGGGGCAGAGAACATCCTCACAGAGGCAGGTCCCTGGGCCCCGAGCAGGTCAGCTCTCGGGGGGACTTGGAGTTAAAGGGGACGTAGGCACTCACATGGTCCTGGCCCCAGCTCCAGCAAGAGAGCTGAGGCCCTAGGGGATATGAGGTCAATGCACTGGGGGTGCCTTAGGAAAGAAACCCCAAATCTCATTCTTTCACCATCACACAGATGGGTCACTGGAGCGTGGACATCCTGGAACCTTCATCACATGGAAACAAGCTCTGAGTCTTTAGGCCAGAAGGAGAAGAGCTGGATCCACCAGCCTCAGAATGTTCTCTGCGCAGAACCATTCTCTGGTCTGGGAGAGAGATAGGAAGGCCAGGCAGCCCAGGAGGAGCCCTCGCTTCCCAGGGAAGGGGCCCGGCTGAGACAGCTGGCTCCCCGACAAGCAGGTCCTCAGGCCTCAGAGAGGAACTGGCAGCTCTGCGAGTCCCCCTCTTTCTAGAACTGGTCAAAACCAGTGAGTGAGGCCATCTCACCCTGGCACTTGAGCCAAATATTGCTCAGGTAGGTGGTAATCCTGTGGGCACATACCGATAGAGGTGAAGAATTCAGCCTGCACACAGCTCAGGACACCAAACCAGGCCACAAGCAACACGGACACCTGGGGTTCCATGGTCACAAAGGGTAGTGTCTGCAAGGTGTTCAGTGACAGGCACTGGATCAACAGTAAAAAAAAAAAAAAAAAAAAAAAAATTACGTGAGGAGACACATACACATGTGCACTGCACACATACACATTCAAACATGTGAAAACCCTGACTAGCACACAGAAGCTAAGGATACTCAGGGGATAAACCAGGGCCACGTGCCCTTGGGAAAGACTCTGCCCTCTTGGCTCCTGGCAGCCATTGGCAATATGTGAAAGCTAATTTTGGGAACGCATGGTCACCTCTGGTTCTAACCATCGGTATGTCTGAGATTCGGGCCCACACCTCCTTGTTTCACAGACTGCTTATCTGTTCTGTCTTTCCTTCCAACTCCCGTACCAAGACAGTGCCAGGTGCTGAGGACCCAGATATAACACGCAGCCCCTGCCCGTAGAAGGCTGACATCAGAGGAGAGACGGTGACAGAAAAGGACACCGACAGAATATTACCCCGGGCACCCACACCCAAAGTGAAGTGAACAGCTGACGGATGGCCAGAACAGGAATAAAAACGGACCCTGCCGGTCTGTACCTGGCCGCAGCGAGAGCAGTCTAAACTCTTGGCAGATGCTGTCCTCACTGGCAAGGCACCATTCACTAATATTTACTAAAGACTCACATATGCCGAAACCGGTTTGGCTCAGTGGCTAGAGCCTGCGGACTGAAAGGTTCCAAGTTCGACTCCGGTCAAGGGCATGTACCTTGGTTTGGGGCACATCCCCAGTAGGGGGTGTGCAAGAGGCAGCTGATTGATGATTCTCTCTCATCGATGTTTCTAACTCTCTGTCCCTCTCTCTTCCTCTCTGTAAAAAAATCAATAAAATATATATTTTTTTAAAAAAAGACTCACATATGCCAGGCACTGCACTAGGCACACCAGATACAAAAGGACATCAGCCACAGAGGACCAAGCCCCAGGCTGTGCTGGGCTGTGCGGCTGATTTGGGTAAGAGGCCAGCTGCCCTCTCCTCACCAGCCTAGAAGACAGACCAGCTCTGAAGGCAGCAGGCACAACCTGGGCAAGCCGCGCTGGCAGGGGGCCTATGGACACCGCAGAGGCTTCGGGCGCCCGCCGTTTTAAGCTCAGCCATGCAGCCTGGGCGTGACGGAGGACCAGCACCCGTCCGAGCACACATCATGCAAATACCAACTGCCAGTCCCTCCTCTTCCTGCTATTTCAGCCAAGCCCCGCAGGAAATTTACTTAAAGCAAACAAGGAAAATAAAGAAGATACAAATGCTCAGAGAAGGGGAGCAGGACTGGAAGCTCTGAGGAGGGTCCGGGTCCTCTCTGTTGCAGCCACAGGTCTGCACCCAGCCTTGCCATACTGCATCTCTGCCCCAGGATTCCAGAAGGTCTTCCTTGTGGCTCACTCAGTCCTTTCCACAGGCATGGTGTCTGTTCCTTATCGCTCAGAGGCTTGACTAGCTCAGGAGAGCACGTTCTGTATGTTTGCAGGAGACCAGACCAGACACGGCTGGAAGTGGGGGACCCCAGTGCTTCCCCGTGTGCTGACAGCTGCACAAGTTCAAGGGAGGGGGAAGCTTCTCCATTCCTTTCACACCGCCCTGGCGATACCGTCCACGGTCCATGCCTTACAGCACATCGGAAGAAGCACCCAGGTTCCTTCGTCACGCACAAACCAACTGTCATTTCTCTGGAATGTGTTGCCTGGCTTAGACTGAGCCCATCCACTAATCCCAGCCTGGAGGCAGAGCTCCGAAGAATATCCGATAGGGTTCTGGGAAATGGCCTCCCAAGAGCCTGCAAAGTCCTGCTCTGATGGAGGAGGGGGACAACGACTCTGCTGGCCCAGAGAGTGAGATACCCCCAAGGAGCCCCCAAACCTCTACAATCAATACTGCCACCGCAGGCATGGGGGCCCCAGAGCCCCCCATTTCTCCTGGTCTTAGGCCCCTGGACACTAAAGGCTTTGTACAAAAAGGGTCAGGCTGGGCGGAAGCAACATCCAAGACAGGCTGTGCCCCACAGTGTGGGCAAGGCCAGCCTCCCACATGCCAGCCCATCCCTACTCATACTTGTACTCAGAGCTTACTTGGACAGAGTAGGTAGGAGTTTGTGTGCCTGTCCTGTGCCCACCAAGTGTCCAGGGCTGCTGGAAGCCCTCCCAGGTGCCCTAGGAACCCATGTTGGCCTGGAAATGGGCAACGTGAACCCTCTTTTTATGAAAAACAAAGTGGCGCTGAGCCAGAACAAAAAACCAACACTGAGTTGTATTGGAGCTGCATCCCGAGTTTAGAACCGTGTCTGGCCCAAACCAGGTACTCAACAAATAATACTTCACCTCAGATTTGTTCAAGTTAGGAAACTACCACAACAGAAGACTGTGCATTTCTTCCCTACAGTGGATTGTTGCGGATTGCATAAGAATGGATACCACATGCATATTAGCATGGAGTGAAGATCAAAGCATACTGTTAAGTGAGAAAAGCAGGCTCCCAAACATATATACTCTATGATTTCATTTTACAAGGAAAAATATGTGTGTGTGTGTGTGCACATATATATATGTAAATTTATAAATACACACATTCATATGCAAGAAGAAAGTCATAAACCTAGTTGTAGCTTGGAGAAACACTTTTATCTTCCTCTTTATGCTTATTTGTATTACCTAAACTTTCTACAAGGAAATTCGAAACACATTTTCTAATATGCTTAAAATGAAAAGAAAACGAAGCAGGACCTCTCCAGTGGCCTCCAAACTGGCAACATCCCTCCTTCCCCATTCCCGTTTGGACCCCCACTGGGAAGTACTCCAAGTCCTGCCAGCACCTCGGTGACAGTGACCCGCCCACCAGATGACTGGCACAGCTTGTGAGCACAAGGCAATTCCAAGACATACAATCAGAGTCCCCAACAAGCCTTCTCTTTGGAAAGGACGTTTACAACCTGGCCAGATGGCCGCGGAAAGATGTTTCCAGTGCAAACCAGCAGCGAGCGTCCTTAGCTTCTCCCCTTACCTCATCAGGCAGAAACCTCTGCCAAGCTCCCAGCTGCGGCCCAAATGCAACAGCTTGCCTTCGAACAATATATTTTAACAGCCTAGAGACAGAACATGGGTTTGCTGAGAACAGGTCTTGCTTGGCACCGAACAAGAGGCTGCCTGCCTTCTGCGAAGGAGCCAAACCTGCCTGGACCGGGCTCCCCACAGTGGCTCTGCCTCCCAACTCTGGGATGGAAAAGTCAAGAGGACACGAGAAACAATTGTAATAATCTGAGCAATAAAGATTTATTGAATAAATAAATAAATAACACGAAAAGTCAGGAGGACAGGCTTGCTCAACCTAGACTTGTGCAGAGGTTCCAGCAGGCCGCGCCAGGCCCACAGCTGTTGTCACTGGCACGCGGGGAAGGATGGAAGGCACCCTACCCTCCTCACCTGACGTCATGCCTCAGTCATCACCTGGTCTGAGCCATCCCCAATTCCCGCCTGCTGCCACGCTGGCCCCCGCCTGCACTGCTTTCTCATCTCATCTGGCCTCCCACCCACCTCTGCTCTGCAAAGCAGCCAGCATGCTTTACTGCAGCCCCTCCTTCGGTCTCAGTCTCCCCAAGAGCCCTCCACAGGCTCTCCAGTGCCCTCAGGATAAAGTCTAAACTCCTCAGCCATTAAGAGCCTTTTGAACTCCGCGTGACTTGGCCCCACTGCCTTCGCCAGCCCCATCTCATGACTCCAGGTTTCATACCTTCAACTACTACCTCACAGGAAAATATCGTCCTTCACAGGGAACCTAATGAAGCTAGGTGCTCATCTCTATCTGTCTTTACACTTTTTCTGTCCCGTCCACGAGCACATAGATGCGTACGTCCCACTTGGGAACCATCAACACCACAGTCTCCTGCGTCAGTAAACAAGCAATGGAGCAGCAGAGAAGGCTGTAAAGATCGACCTGTAAAAGCCCAGTTGGTTATTCAGTCACTATCTTGGCAGAGACTTGGCAGTCTAGGTGAGGCTAGCTCCCAAGAAGGAACTCGGCACAAGGACACAGTCCGCATGCCCCTGGATTGGATGCACCTGACGTACTGTCTCAACCTCTCTTGGCCTCACCTAGCTCCTGGACCACTGACCTGCCTCTGACCAAGTGGAGAAGACCGTCAGGCTCCCAGTCTCTGGCTCTTCCCACTACGTTGGGACTCCAGTGACATGCCACATCCACCTTCCCAGTGGCTGCTGGAGGGCCCTGGTAGTGCACTCCAGGAGCAGAGAGAGTTAACTCCTCCTGAGACAGCTCTGACCAGTGAAGGGCAGAAGACAGAGGAGGTCGGCAGACTAATTTCCTCTCCAGGCCTCCACTGAGAAACTGTCCTGCCACGTGGACTTTCTGTAGAGCTCGCCCAGAGATGGCCCACATGGCTGAGCAACTGGTGCCGCTCTGTGCAGACCGGGCAGCTTGCTAAAGCACCATCCTGAATTTGCTTCCCATCCTTTGCTGCCTCAGTTGCCTTTCCCTCACTCTGGCTGCCCTGCAAGTGCACCTTCCAATGAAGCATTCACCACGTAAGCTCTGCCTTGGGCTGGTTTATGGGAACTAGACTAAGATAACCACTATATTTATTCCCAAAAACCTTTCATCTCTACCTTCTAATCCTCACCCAAATCTTGTAAACAAGATTATCATCTCCATTTCAGCTATCTATATATATAAAAGCCCAGTAACCCTTAGGGTGGAATGACCACCCTAAGGGTGGAATGACCAGAATGACCAGTCGCTATGGTGTGCACTGACCACCAGGGGCCAGATGCTCAGTGCAGGAACACCGCTCAGCCAGAAGCCAGCCTCTCCTGACTCCATAGCAGCACTAAGGAGAGGTGAGCCAAGCGGTAAGGAGTGAACAGGCAGGTGGGAAAGAGCGAGAAGGTGGGCAGTTATGAGCAAGCAGGCAGGTGGTTAGGAGTGAGGGGTCCCAGATTGTGAGAAGGTGCAGGCAGGGTTGAGGGACTTTCCCTCCCCCTCCCCAACCCCGAGCATGAATTTCGTGCATCAGGCCTCCGGTAGATCGATAACTGAGGCTTAGCATTTCCTGCACATCTGGCACGCTACAGGAAATCACTGGCAGAGCTGAGACTCAAACCCAAATCATACTTTCCACTAGATACTGCTGCCATTCACGCCTCCTCAGTAATATCTGTTGGCTTACAGCACAAGGGCCTCCCAAAAAGGGGAGCCACACTTCGCCCTGGTTCAGCAGGCCTGCTCTGGTCAAGGACTTCATTGTGACTCACAGAGCAACTTCATCATATCTGTGGTAGACAGTAACATGGACCCAAAAGTCAGGAACAGGGTGCCCTGAGTGCAGGTGATAGACTCTCCTGCCCTAGACACCCATCACGAATGACCTCCCAAATAACCAGCCAGTCCAGCTCAGGGCAAGGCAGTATAGCCCAGTAGGCAGGCACATCCACCCTGGGGCCAGACAGCCCGAGTTAAATCTCAGCTCCACCATGACTTGCTGGCTTTGTGACCATAATGCTATGGTTCTCTCAGCCTCATCTATATAATGGTGACAATGTTAGGACCTTCGTTTCATAGGGCTGCTGTGAGGACTGAATGAGATGACAGAGGTCGGTGGGCAGCCCAGCAGCACCAGGCACAATTTATACCAGTCATCAGCATCAAGGGTACTGCAGGAACATCAGTAGGCCTGAATCAGCCAGCTGTCCAGCTGGTCCCTGGAGAGGAAGAAGGTCCAGTCTAGGGGTCAGTGAAGATGAAAACAAAGCAAAAATTGGGCAACCTCCAGGTCCCAGGAGTACTAAAAGAGAGGAAACATTCGTTCAAGAAAGAGGGGAGTTAGGGGCAATGCAGCCCCTAGCCAACAGGGAATAATAACCCTGGGACTGGTCAATTACTGGCTCTCTGTCTCACCAAGGAAGGGCAGTTCTCTGGCAAAAAATAGGGCGCTGGGCCAATTCTCTAGGAGCTCATGTATCTCTATGCCTCTGACCTGCTCACTCCCAAGTTCCTACACGTACAAGGCCCTCAGGAGTTGTAGGTACAAAATAGGCTGTATTCTAGCAAGCACTTGCTGAAAGGGTTAGGGCAGTGGCTGGTCTGTGATCAGGCTCAGACGGATCCTACCTGAGCCGGAGGAGTCACCACCCAAACACTTAACTAATCCTCTGCGTTGCAGTGATACCACTTTAAGCTCTCTTCCACAACACAGCTCCAAGAAGTCTAGGCTATATTTTTCACTTCCCTCTGCTCTAAGAATAAAAACTATATCCCTCCTTCCACGTCCCCAGCACAAACCCAAGGCCACAGGAGCCATCAGCCAGCCCTCTCAGCTCTAGGACAGGCTGGTGTCCCAGCCTGGAGCGCTTCAAAAGTCCTAATTGCTAGATTTGAGCAACTTTCTGGATCCAGCTGCACGTGCCTGCATCACAGCATGTCCTGCCAACCTCCATCTGCATAAAATTAAACTCTTGACAGATCCCAGGATCCAGGGACACACCCACCAGCCCCATGCACACTATCAGCCAACGTGGCCACATATGGGCCTCAGACCCTCCCAATAATGTAGGAGGGGGAGGGCAGAGTCAAAAAGTATGGCTCTCTCCCATAGTCCCTCCCCCCACTCATTCCTCAGGGCTGCACCCTCGCAGTCTCTCCATCTGATAAGCTTCTGGGCTCCTCCCCTGGCACAGGGCCAGCTGCCAGCGTGAAGCAACAATCTCAGAGAGATTATGAGCTCCCCATGGGCAAGAATAGTGCTGCCACCTCCTCCTCCTCCACCACCCTGCTTCCGGCCCCAGGCATGTTCTAAGCAAAAGCCAGGCTCACAGGATATACTCGGTAAACAGAGATCAGCTATGGCCAGGCTAAACCAGCAGAGTAAATACTCTCCTGGGCATCCCACTTTGGAGCCTGCAGCAGGGTAGAGGGGCCTATCAGAAGCCACAGACTAGTCATCACCATGTCTGCCTGCGGAGCCCTACGGTGGCCCAGGATGACAGCATCTGGGGGTGAGGCCCCCAGCCAACCCACTCCATCCTTGCTACGTGGCTTCCTTGGCAGGGCCACTCAGTGGACACGCTTGGCCGTCTGAGAATAAGGAGGCTCTACAAGAAAAGGAGTCACAGCCCAGAGATCTGGCGAGCAGAAGAGGCGAAAAAAGAAGCTGAGCCCCGAGGCCCAGAACCACAGTGAGAGAGCGCACGGCACCCTGGACCCTTTGGGAGCAGTTTAAGCACAAGCCAGAGGAAGTCTTGGTTCGCTTCCTAGAGCAGCGTTTTTCAACCGCTGTTCCGCGGCACAGATGTTGCCTGGTGTGCCGTAGGTGCAGACAAGACAAGAATTTTATAATTTTTCACTATTTTGTTTACTTAATATTTCATAATAAAGTAATTATAAAATACTTTCTTTGTGTTTATTTGATTCCTATTCAAGAGAATTACTTTATATATAGTCAATATAGGCACAGAGTTAAATTTTTTAACATTTTCTAATGGTGGTGTGCCTCGTGATTTTTTTCATGAAACAAGTGTGCCTTTGCCCAAAAAAGGTTGAAAAACACTGTCCTAGAGAACTAAACTATGGGATCTATTGCCCCAGATGTGACACGGGCTGAGAAGAAGCAACAGCTTGCAAAAACATCCTATAAGCGCCGAGGTGAACAGGGGATCTCTGCAAACTCTGAGGCACTTGAGAACGCCCTGAGCCACCAAGTGACATTCCCCTTCCCTCGTTCCCAGGGCCAGGATCTCCTGCAGAAGGACTGAGGCTGCCAGGCTTCCAATGGCTTCCACTGAGAAACACAAGGTGTCACTCTCCAGCAGAAGACACAGATCTCAGCCTTGGAAGGGACCCTGCTGTCCTATAGCATCTTAGAGATGTCCCATTGGAATGCAGAGGCCCGGGCCCGCCCCTGTGGCCCTGGTCCACTCTCCTGTTGCAAGGGCTTCACTGAGCACCCTCCGAGGCTCCATGAGAGGCACTGTCCCCTCACTTGGAGCTCTTGTGGACGGGGTCCATGGGCAGCTACCCCCAAGTGTCCCTTCCCCCATCATTTTGCCAGGGGGCTGCTCCCTCACACAGGCTGCTCCTCTGCCCAGGCTATCCTATGGTATATTCAGCCTTCATCTGACCCTTCCCTTTAGTAAGGTACCTCCTCCAGGAAGCCCTCTGGCCTGAAGCATCCCCGTCCTCTACCCACTGCCCCGTGTCCCCTCCCAGCACCGCACTCACCACACGGCTCTGGGCCTGGGCTTCCCAGTCTTCCAGTCCAGCCGGTCTGCGCCCCGGGCCAGCAGCTCCTTACGGTTTCTGACACTGAAGGGTCCGTTGGTTGGGTGAGTTAGTAGGAATCACAGGTTTCCGCAGCTGTTGAGGAAAAACATTAGAAAGGGATGTCTGGAGCGGGGAGAAAACACGCACAACTTTCTCCTAGGACAGCCCATCTAGTAACCGGCACCCAGCCGGCGGGTCCGGCTCAGACCCCAGCCTTCGCCCTCTGCCCCTTCGCAGGGAGGCAGATGGCCCTCCCTCCCCAGAAGCGGCCCCTCGGGGACCAGCCTCGGCCAGGCCGCCTTCCCGGGAGCTGACAGCGCGGGCGGCCCGGCTCCCCGCCCCCGGCCGCCCGGGGACGGCAGGAAGGGCGCGCCGACCTCCCCGCCCCGAGCCCCGGCGGACAGGAACCCAGGCGGGAGCGGACACGGGCGGGGGGCGCGGGGCTGCGCTGGGGACGCGCGGCGGCCCCGGGACCCCCGGCCCGCGCCCCGGCCCCGCCACCCCGGCCCCGGGCCCGCGGCGGGCGGCGGGCGGCGCGATCCGGCCGGCGGGCGCCGCGCTCACCTGGCTGGACACGCGCCGCGCCCGGCGTTTCCAGAACCTCCCGCGGCGGCCCCGGCCCGCTCGGCGCCTCCTCCCGGCGGCTCCGCCTCCTCCCGGCCGCAGCGGCTCCGCCCGCTTGAGCCGCTGCCACGTCCCCACCTCCCGCCGGCCCGCCCGGCCCTGGCCCCGCGCCCCAGGCTCTCCGCCGAGGGTCCCGCCGCCCGCGCCCCCCGCGCAGCCCGGCCGCCGGAGCCGGGAGCCGGAGCCGGAGCCGGGAGCCCGGAGCCCGGAGCCCGGAGCCGGGAGCCGGCCTCGGGCAGCGGGAGCCACCGAGCGTCCTTCATGCCGCCGGCCGCCCGCCGCACGTACTCCGCGCCCGCACCCCCTGGGACTCCCCCTGGGGTTCCGCCTCCCGCTCCTCAGCCCCGGACGGCTGCAGCGGGGCCCACGCCCCATCCCATCCCGGCTCCGGCCTGTGGGGGCTCCCTGGCCGCTGGCTCCCTCCCCTGGCCTCCGTATGCCCGTTTCCTTGGAGATCATCCTGCAGGGGATACGGCTCTCCTATGGCCCCTGCCCATCCTCCCCACGGGCAGGTGTGCGGGAGGGGAGGGGTAAGGGAGGTGGGAATGTCCCCTGGAGCCGCAGCAGGGTATCAGGGGAAGGGACAGAGCAGGGGAGAAGGCCCCGAAGAAGGCTGGGGACCTGGTGCCACCCCCAGGGCCGTGCTCCCGAAGGGATTCGGACTGTCCCCGGCTCCTGGGTTAGGCACCCCTCCTGGTTTGTGTGTGGGTAATGGATTAATGGGGAAGAGGGAGGGTAGGTGTGGGTACACTGGGTTTGCCCAAACCCTTCCATACTCCACAGGCCAGAAACAGGGGATGCCTCCTCCAGCCGGTCCAGTCCTGGAAGGAAGGAAGGCAGGGATGCAGCAGACCTCAGCCTGAGCTGGAGGAGGCCCTGGTTCCCACGCCTGCTCTCATAAACCTTCCCGGTCATGAATGAGGGGAAACTCGTCTGAGAATCTCATCAGGGAGCCCGCCCGGAGTGGGAGGGGCGCAGCCTCTGCCCAGGCGCCCTGGGGATGTTCCCTGTGGCACGCTGGCCAAGCTGGCAGCCCGGGTCCAGCCCGGGTCGGGAAAGGCACGGGCACACACACCAGTTACACCCCGCACATAAAACACAGAACAAGCACTGATCTGGCCTGAGCCCGCCGCTTGCCGGAGCTCAGCTCAGCCAAACAGAAAGCTCCCTGCGTCTGCTGCGTCCTGTGAGGCCACCGTCTCTCCGCCCAGATCCTCTCCTTCTCAGGAGCTTGTCCTGAGGATCTTGCTCCCCCTCTCAACTGGATCCTTCTCTTGACCTATAAATATGTTCAAGCCCATACTGTGGGGGGCGGGGAAACACACACACACAACAACCCCTCATTCAAACCCACCAACTGCTAGCTACAGTGTCTCTCTCCTCAATCACAGCAAATTTCTCTGAAAGAGCCCTTTGTCTCCTCATCCTCACCTCTCTCCCACCCCTCAGCCCCCTCGCCACACTGAACCAGGTCTCAGAACATTCTCTGTAACCGACAAGTCCCTCAGTTCAGTAACTACTCTGAAGTCCTCATCTGTCAAAGCAACGTCTGACCACTGCCTTCCCGGAGCCCTCATGTCCCCTGGTTCCCGCCACCCTCTCCGGCCGCCTCTGCCCAGGCTTCCTGCCCCCCAGCACATTCTCCTCTCCACTTCTCCCCGTTAGCCAGGAAAGGAGGGGGCTCCTCCACGCTCAGGCCTACAGGGCCCTCTTCTCCTCCTCTCTGTCCATAATGTCTTCCTATACACAGGTGGCACAAACGTCTCTCTACCCCAGCCCTGACGCCTGAGCTCCAGACTCATCACTGACGGCAGGGTCTATGTCTCCACTTGAGTGTCCCCAGGCACCTCAATGGCAAAATGTCCAACACTGGGCTCATGCTCTCTCCCCTGCCCCTCCACCTCTCACGTTCCCTGCTTCACTGCTGGAGCCACACCTCTGCCATCGGTCACCTGATCAGAAGCCTGGGAGTCATGCCTTCTGCCTCACCCCCGGACCCTTTCCTCCCATACCCCACATCCGTTCAATCCTACCACCTAAATCACATGTGTCAAACACAAGGCCCTCGGGCCAAATCCGTCCCGCCAGGCCTTGCAATGTGGCCCGCACCGCGCTGTCATCACTGCACTCCGCTGAGTTTCCATCACAATGACAGTTTATGACTGTTCAGTAAACCATTCGGCCCGCGATTTAGGCTGGATTTTAGATTTTGGCCCCTTCTCTGATTGAGTTCGACACCCCTAACCTAAATGATGTCTCTCTAGTCCATCCATTTCTGCCCATCCTCCTCCACGTGGGTGATTGTAACAGTGTCTGAGCTGGCCGCCCTCCGCCATTATTGTTTCCTCCCACCCCCCTCCGCACTGCTGCCACAGTGCTGTCCTCAGAATGCAGGCTCGAACCCGTTGCTCTCAGCTTAGTAAATGGCACCGCCCTTTCGAACAACCCTAAAAGTGGTTTGGCCCTTGCCCACTTCTCTAGCTACACTGTCCTTCCTCCAGGCCCTGTCATGGCCACTCTTCCCCACCCACTCCCAGGCCTTGGCTATGCTGTTCTTTCAGTCTAGAAACTTCTCCCTCCTTCCCTACTGAATCCTTCTGATCCCCTCAGAGGGATTTCCTTCACTTCCCTGACCAGACCAGAGCCTCCTAGAACAGCTGCTTATGCCCTGTGTGCTTTGTAAGACTCGCCACAGTTTATGTAGTTGAATGATTGATTAACATATGTGTGTGTGTGTGTGTATATATATATATATATATATATATATATATATTATTGATTTTTTACAGAGAGGAAGGGAAAGGGATAGAGAGTTAGAAACATCGATGAGAGAGAAACATCAATCAGCCACCTCCTGCACACCCCCCACTGGGGATGTGCCTGCAACGAAGGTACATGCCCCTGACTGGAATCAAACCTGGGACCCTTGAGTCCTCAGGCCGACGCTCTATTCACTGAGCCAAACCGGTTTCGGCTGATTGATTAATATTTACACCACCACCACCACCACCACCACCACCGGCCTGGGAGCTGCAGGAGTGCATAGTTATATGTGGTTTTGTCCATCATTATATCCCCAGCCCCTACCACAAATAAATATTTCTGCCTACATGGAGAGAAGGGTGTCTCCTTAAAGCCTCGTTCCACACAGCAGTTGTCAAAGGTCTGGCTAAGGCCTCCACGGGGCCTCAGAGTCCTGGACCCCATTCATTCCTCAGCGTCTGCACCCCCTCTTCTCTTATAAAGGTACTTTTCATTGGATTTAGGGCCCAGGAGGTAATGAGAATAACCTCATCACATGATCTCTCACTTAATTTATCTGCTAAATCCCTTTTCCAAATACGGTCGCATTGACAGAGGTAGGTATTAGGACATAGGCATACCTTTTTAGGGGCCATCATTCAACGCAGTACACTTGACATTCCCTCATGCCCCACACAGGCTACTGGAGCCCCGCAAATCCTTGACTCTTGGTTATGAATCTCCAGGCCAGGCCCACTGCAGACCCACATAGCCTTTCTCTGTGGCCACTCAACAGGAAGCCTCATTATCTCCCCATATCCTACTCCACACCACCCAAAATGCGTCTGCTCTGCCGAAACCGGTTTGGCTCAGTGGTAGAGCGTGTGGTGTGCGGATTGAAAGGTCCTGGGTTCGATTCTGGTCAAGGGCATGTACATTGGTTGCGGGCACATCCCCGGTGGGGTGTGTGCAAGAGGCAGCTGGTCGATGTTTCTCTCTGATCGATGTTTCTAGCTCTCTATCTCTCCCTTCCTCTCTGTAAAAAATCAATAAAATATATTTTTTTTTAAATGGTTCTGCTCCAACATTTCCCTTACCTCAGGAAATGAAATCAGCACATCTCACAGTCGTTTCCATCTTCCTCCCCAGCACATTCCCATATGGGAGCTCTTCCCTAGAGGATCTCCATCCATCCACGGCTTTCCATTCCCGTGGCCACAGCCCAAATTCAGGACACCACCGTCTCTCACCTCCGTCATCCTCACTGGCCCACAGCTCCGACCTAACTCCCTCTCTCGTTTTTGTGCTCCACACACAGAGTGCTATAATAACTGTGATTCTGATCATGTCATTTCCATATATAGAACCCCTCAAATGTGTCCCTGCCCCCAGGATGGTCACAGATCTTGCCAAGGCTATCAGTCCCCTCTATCCAGCCCTGATGACCTCTCTTCTCATGTGCAACCTCAAACTCGATGCTCCAGCATCCTGGGCATTTCAAAGTTCCTTGGCCTTCCATGTCATTCTTCCTGCCTGGAACACTTCCCTCCCCAAAGCTTGTTCCTCTGAAAGCCTTCTGTGGGCCCAGCCTGAGCCGAGTTCCCACATAGACCCCATGGCTCCTCATGGATGACTTCCATGCATGCCACCTGGCATCGTCCATGTCTACTTCCTTCACCACTTCCCCTTCCCGGGAGGGAAGCTGCCTCTGTCCTGTTCAGCACCATGTCTCCAGCTCTAGCAAAGGGCCTGGTGCCCAGGACCTCAACAGGGAGTGGGAAGCAAAAGTATAGGAAGGAAGGAAAGAGGAAAAGAAGGAGGGAGGGAAGGAAGGAAGAAATGAATGAATGCATGAGCACCCCTGACCACTGTTACCTCCAGCAGGCCTCACTAAACACACCAGTTGTGTGTCACTGAATGAATAAACAGCCACGTTACACTCCTTTTCCCCAAATCCGTTGTGTAGACAAAGCCACACCTCCCTCTGGCAATCACTCTGCTGTGTTCATTCATACATTCATTCCACAAACATTTGCTGGGGACAGTTGAGCCCCTGGTGGGGGTTCGGGGGCCACGGATGTCAAAGAAGCTCTATGTAGTGGGGGAAACTAGCAGGAGAACAGAGCCCACACAGCAACCTTGTCCAGGGAGGGAAAGGCTTCTGGTCGGAGGTGCTACCTGTCTGGTCCCAGTCCTATAGCGCCTCCTCAAGCTCAAGCTCAGGTACTGATGGCCACCTTTCACCCTGGCATGGCTAAGAGTACAGCAAATGAAGCCCTACTTTCAGGCTGTCCCTACGTGACATCACTGGGCAATGGCTCCTCCAAACAGGCT